AGCCGCCCCTTGGGCTGACCCCCATTTGCCTCTTGTAGACAAAGACATGCGACACTGTGAGGCCGGCTTCAGCTCTGTGGTGACTCAGGCAAGTCGCAGGCAAGAGTAGCTCTCCCTGGAGCTTGAGCCTAGAGGTTCGCGAGTTTGAGGTCAGCCTGGTCTGCATAGCAAGTCTGAGGCCAGCCCCGGGTACATAGCAAGTTTGAGATCAGCCTGAGCTACAAAGTAAAACTCGTCTCAAAATGAGATGGGGTGGTGGGGAGAATGAGAATGGTGCGATGTTGGCGCATGCCTTCAGTCCCAGCACTCGGGAGGCAGAAGCAGGTGGATCTCTTGAGTTTGACGCCAGCCTGGTCTCCAGAGCGAGTGCCAGGTCAGCCAGGACTACACAGAGAAACCCTGTCTCTAAAAACAAACAAAAGAATATGCAGGCAGGGCTGGAGAGATGGCTCTTCAGCCCTGGCTGCTCTTCCATGGGTCCTGAGTTCAATTCCCAGCACCCACACGGTGGCTCACTATATATATATATGCAGGCAGAACACTGTATACATAATAAATGAATCTTAAAAAAAAAAAAAAGAATGTGCAGGCAAAGTGGTTTAGGGTTGTTCCCAGGATAGAGGACCCTCTCATGACCAGGACTTCCCTTTCAGGATGGGGAGCTAGTACTTGGGGCCCCCGGCGGCTACTTTTATTTAGGTAGGTGTGCCCAGTATTCCAACTCTCTCCCATCTCCGTGGTTTGGGGAGACCCAGGCGTTTGGTGCCCCACACCTCCTGTCCCTGTGCCCTTCCTAGGTCTCCTGGCTCGGGTTCCAATTTCGAGTATCATCTCTAGTTACCGCCCGGGTACCCTTTTGTGGCCTTTACCCAGTCAGCACTACACCTTCGACTCCGGCAACCCAGCGTACTTCTACAGCTACCAGGGTAACCTTGGCATCTCCTTTCCAGGCTTCCCAGGCCCCTGTTCGTGCCTTTATGCCAATCTTAGCTAGTCAACCCCAGCACAAAGGCACCCCGCCCCCTGTTCCTGCCTCTTCCACCACGCTTGTTCAACTCCCATCCAAACTGGCTCACCCTTCTCTCCTTGGACTCAAGTGAGATCTTGGGCACGCCTCCGTTTTCCCACCTGCACAATGCAGTTTGTGCTGATAACCTCGCTTCTCATGACCCTCCTTTCCTGACCGAGGTCTTCCTCGTTGCCTTAAACACTAAGCTGTGCTGTGCTTTCAGGGTACTCGGTGGCCGTGGGCGAGTTCGATGGGGATCCGAGCACTACAGGCAAGGAATGCAGTTAGGGGAGTCCTGGGGCAGGATCACCTCTACAAGAGGAGTCCTGGGGCAGGAGCACCTCTGCACAATTCCCCCGGGGTCCCTATGTGAGGATGGAATAAGTCGGGACTGAGGATCTGATTTGCTGAGCCTGGCTTTTCACAGAGTACATATTGGGTGCCCCCACTTGGAGCTCGACCTTGGGAGCGGTAAGTGCCCGCTCTCCCACCAAACCCTTGACCCTAGTCATCTTGTTTACTCCCCCACATTCGCCAGCACCCTACCCTTTCGCAATGAGAGTGGGAAGCCACTGAGGAAACGTGAATGACGCGCTTGGGTGTGTTCCTCCATACAGGTGGAAATTTTGGACTCCTACTACCAGCGGCTGTACCAGCTTCGTGGAGAGCAGGTGAGGGCGGTGGCAGTGACCAAAATCAGGGTATTAAAACACACACCCTCAAGACGGTTCTTGGGATATGCGGGTAATGTCTAGCAGGGTGCCGCGTGCAGAAACACAAACTGAAACGCTCTTCATCTTGTAGATGGCTTCGTATTTCGGGCACTCTGTGGCAGTCACTGATGTCAATGGGGATGGGTGAGAAGAGGGAATGAATGCCCTACCCTTACCCAGTTGGGTCCTCAATTGCCAGCAACAGGAGTTACCCTTCTCTTGTCCCAAGGGTGGCCCAGAACTGCCCTCATTCCTGGTATCTTCCTAGCTCAGCTGCACCTAACCTTGCCCATGTGGTCCACAGGAGGGATGACTTACTGGTGGGGGCTCCACTCTATATGGAGCACAGGGCAGACGGAAAGCTGGCCGAGGTGGGCCGTGTGTACTTGTTTATGCAACCTCAGGGCCCCCATATTCTGGACAAGCCCACTCACCTGCTGACCGGCACTCAGCTCTATGGGAGATTTGGATCTGCCATAGCACCCTTGGGTGACCTCAACCGAGATGGCTATAATGGTGAGTGGAAGAGCTGCTGTGTTTGACCTTAAGAGCACTAATAGCCCTAACAAAAGGATGGGTTTAGGGCAGATGGGTGGAGTACCCTGCAGTTCCAGTACGAGGGAGGCTGAGACCTTGGGCAGCAGGAGCCCAGGAAGGCTTGACTGCCGACTGGAAAATGGGTACCAGAGTTCAGGGAATCCTTTTAGGACGGTTTGTCTCAATCTCAGCATGATGGAGACTGGAGTTAGCGATTGGATGACTTTACAGATATTTGGGGTTGGGACTATTAAGGTGGATGGGAAATGGAATTTGGAGTCAAGAAGAGAAGGAGGTTGAGTGGGAGTGGGGAGCCAGGAGGTCTGGAGTTCAGATCTAGGTTAGATGGGTTTGAAGGGCTTGGGGGTGTTAGGTGAGAACTGAGAACTGTGGCTTTCCGCATTTCCGCCAGAGAGGCCTGAGGGTGAGAGAGAGAGAGAACTAGGAAGAGTGGATGGGATCCAGAGCCCGTGTGATAAGAAGAGGCCCAGAGTAGAACCCTGGGAAGTAAGAACATTTAGGGACCACCGAGAAGGTGACTGTGGGAAACAGAGTTTGAACAGCTGGGAGAGAAACCATGAGATTGGTGGCCCAAAACTCTAAGAGAGAGTACTTGGAGCAGGAGGAAGGAATGGGCCAAGTGGCCCCCTCATTCCTCTTTCAGTCCATTTAGGTGGGACTGGGAAAACATCATGGCCTTTAGCAAGAATGAGCTCATTGGTGGCAGTGACAAGAACCAACACAGGCCAGTGTGGCAGTGCATACCAGTAATCCTGGCACCTAGGAAGCAGAGGCAGGAGGGATAGAAGCCCAAGGTCACCCTCTGCTACCTAAGAGGCTGGAGAGCAGCTTGGGATACATAACTCCCTCTTTCAAAAAACCTACCAACTAGCCGGGCAGTGGTGGCACATGCCTTTAATCCCAGCACTCGAGAGGCAGAGACAGGTGGATTTCTGTAAGTTTAAGGCCAGACTAGTCTAAAGAATGAGTTCCAGGACAGGCTCCAAAACTACAGAGAAACCCTGTCTCAAAAATGAAACAAACAGGTGTGCAGATATACGTGGAAGTACAATGTTGTATACATAATAAATAAATAAAATCTTTAAAAAAAATGTTCAAAACCATGCCCATGAGACAGGGTGGTATATGTCACAAACTGGCCTCTACTTATTTATGTAACTGAGGCTGACTTTGAACTTCTAGTCCTCCTCCTGTCTCCATATCCCTTGTGCTAGAAGGACTGGTACTATGGGCACCACCACACTTGACTTATGCTGTGTGAGGCTTTGGGCATGTTAGGCCAGCTCTGTATTAGCTCAGCTACAACCCTTCCCTTAATTCCCATTTTCTAAGAAGATTAAATAACTGAGCCCAGCTTGGGGCAGCAAACTTCTTAGTATGTGTGAGGTCCTAGATTCAATTCCCAGTAATGGAAGAAAAAAAAAGTAGGCCTGGTGTGCTGGTGCACACCTTTAATATCAACATTCATGAGGCAGAGGTTGGTAGATCTCTGTGAGTTCAAGGCCAGCTTGGTATACATACTGAGTTCCAGGCCAGTTAGGGCTACATAGTGAGACTCCATTTCAAAACACAAAACCAAACTGAAAAGCAAATAAAAACTAGCTGAAGCCTATTTCCCAGATGCTAACTCTGTTTCAGCTTCACCATGCCAACAAACTCACAGCCACATCATAGGTCTCTCAACCCAAGTGTCTTGAGAGTGTGTCTGTTAGCAGTCTCATTATTTTCTGAGTCCTTTTCATATATGACCAGTTTAGGATCACGTGTGTCTGTGTGTTTTAACCATCTTCCCTTTATCTTCTGATTTTGTTTACAGTATGTCTTTGCAATTTTCTTGATCACTATAATCATAATTCAAACAAAAGTCTTTAATCCTAGCCTTCAGGACTCAGGGGCAGGTGGATCTCTGTGAGTTCCAGGCCAGCCAGGGCTACACAAGGAGACCCTGTCTCAAAAAACAAAAACAAAACAGAGGCCTCTGACCACAATGGTGTCCTCGAGTCCCTGGCCTCGTATCTGTCCTGGTTTTGGTCTTCATGGATTTACTGACCATTTGATTCTTGCCCCATGGCCAGTTTCGGATCAGCCTGGTCAGACTCTATCTGGAGTTAATTCAGCTCAGGGTGGCAGGAGATGCAGAGCAGATGGGCACTGTGGCCTCCTAATTGCCAGCCTTCCTTGGGACCCTGGGGGTCTCCCAACCATCTTGTGGATTTCCTCACAGCACTTGTTTCTAACTTTCTCCAGTCTTCCAAGCTGTCAATTCGGTTTCCTTCCTTAAGGGGCCCTATTGCTCACTCTCTTCCTGCTTTCTCTATGTGACCTTTGAATCGGTATCTCCTGCCTCTGGATGGAGTGTCTGCATTCCCAGGCGTCACAGGGACCCTCATCTAGCTGTCCCATCCTCATTCCACGATGGCTCCCCTTTTCCTTTCACAGTCACACTGGTGAGAGAGCTGTCTGTCTTGCCTGCTGAGGTTTTCACCTCGCTTCATACCCTGCCCCTCACCAGTGATCTTCTGGTCCCTACGGTGCCCTCCATAAGTTGTTTTTGTTTGTTTGTTTCGTTTTTTTTAAGATTGTATTTATTATGTATACAATGTTCTGCCTGCATGTATGCCTGCAGGCCTGAAGAGGTCACCAGATCTCATTACAGATGGTTGTGAGCCCCCATGTGGTTGCTGGGAATTGAACTCAGGACCTCTGGAAGAGCAGTCAGTGCTCTTAACCTCTGAGCCATCTCTCCAGCCCCCAGGTTTCGAACATCTTTAATCCCAACACAGGGAGGCAGAGGCAGGCCGATCTCTGTGAGTTTGAGGCCAGCATGGTCTTCATAGCAAGTTCCAGAACAGCCAGGGTTACAAAGAGAAACCCTATCTCAGTCAAACCAAACCAAACCAAAAAACAAACAAACAAAAACCCCTGTCTCAAACTAACAATAATAGTGAACAGGATAACAACACCCAGTTGTTGGGAGTAAATGGAATCTTGTTGGTACATTTCCCTCGATGGACAGTGAGGACTGCTGGAGCTTTTATAGCAATTGTTAATACTTGACTGATTTCTCTCCTGTCTCTTCAATATAGACTTTGTACTCTTCTCCTGTTGTCCCAGGGCCTCCCTAGAGAAGACTCAGGGGCAATTGGCAGCATCCCCTGGGGCAGACTCAATCACAAATAGCCACACTCTTTCTCTCTTTCCAGATGTTGCTGTGGCTGCCCCCTATGGGGGACCCAGTGGTCAGGGCCAAGTGCTGGTGTTCCTGGGTCAGAGTGAGGGGCTGACTCCACGCCCCTCCCAGGTCCTGGACAGCCCCTTCCCCAGAGGCTCTGCCTTTGGCTTCTCCCTTCGTGGTGCTGTAGACATCGATGACAATGGATACCCAGGTGCCTGTGGGTTGTATCCAGCCAGTCAAGACAGGCTTTTGAGCACTTGCTGGAAATGTGGAGAGAACAGCTGGAGGTTCATGTCTGACCTGGCAGCTGCTGTGGGCTCTAACTTGTCTGTGTGGCTGGGATGCTGGGGTTAGGGGGCGGAACCTCTAGGAGCGGATGGTGTGGAGGACTTTTTGGCCACTTTTGACCCTTCTCTCTATGCCTACAGACCTGATTGTGGGAGCGTACGGGGTTAGCAAAGTAGCTGTGTACAGGTGAGCACTGGCTAGGGGGGGAAGGGCCACATCAGAGGAGGAGGCTGGGCCAGGAAGGAGACAATGGTGAGCCTCTTCTGATCCCATCAGAACTCAGCCTGTGGTGCTGGCCACTGTCCAGTTGCTGGTTCAAGACTCCCTGAATCCCACCCTGAAGAACTGTGTCCTGCAACAGACCCAGACACCAGTCAGCTGGTGAGGAGGTGGAGGTCACAGACTTGGCAGGGTTTGGGACCTTAGAGAGGCCCCAATCTTAAAACCTGCTCTCATCTTTGCAGCTTCAACATCCAGATGTGTGTGGGAGCCACGGGGCACTACATTCCTCAGAAGCTGGGTGAGTGGCTGGAGGAAGGGAGGAGGTCTGGCTGTCCCCACTAGAGGGAGACCTAAATCTTTCCCGTTTGCTTGGCCTGCAGATCTAAAGGCAGAGCTGCAGCTTGACCTGCAGAAGCCCAGTCAAGGCCGCCGAGTGCTCCTGCTGGATTCTCAACAGTCGAGCCTCACCCTCAGCCTAAGCCTGGGTGGAAAAAACGGAACTACCTGCCACACCATCAGGGCCTTCCTTAGAGTATGCTCAGGCTAGAACGGGCTGGGTGTTCAGGGTTCTCTCCGCAGGCAGCTCAAACAGCCCTTGGGCTCCAGCAAAGGGTGTGGGCACAGCAGCAGGATAGCCAGACTCTTGCCATCTGCTAGGACGAGGCCGACTTCCGGGACAAGCTGAGCCCTATTGTGCTAAGCCTCAACGTGTCGCTGCCCCCAGAAGAGACTGGAGTAGACCCTGCTGTGGTGTTGCATGGAGAAACCCATGTCCAGGAGCAGGTAGGGGACAGTGGGACAAGCAAGAAGGGCACAAGATCCCTGGTAGGGGGATTAAGATCAGGGATTAGTTGTAACCATGAACCCCAAACCTTGAAGTTACCCCTAAATCCTGATGAAACTCCAAATTTCAGTGTCCCCCAAACATTATTTGTAGATTCAAAAACCCTGCTATCACCAGAACTTTGGTGTCATCCTAACCTTTGCACACATTTCACCCCCTACTGAAGGGATCTCTGGAGCCACTGTTGTTCTCTGAGCTCCGAGGTGACCCCTCAACCTCACAAGCCCTCAGCTTAACCACACATCCTATTGTGTCCCCTAGACCCGGATCATCCTGGACTGTGGGGAAGACGACCTGTGTGTGCCGCAGCTCCAGCTCACAGCTACTGTGTGAGAGGGTCCCCCACTCTACCTACCCTGTCCCTCCGTGCCCCAGGAGACCCACGCCTCACCTGAGTCCCCTCCCCTCCTCCTGGCCTCTAGTCCTAAACCAAGCACCCCTGCACACACAGCGGGGACTCCCCACTTCTAATTGGTGCTGACAACATCTTGGAGTTGAAGATCGATGCAGCCAATGAGGGCGAGGGAGCCTATGAGGCGGAGCTGGCTGTGCACTTGCCTCCAGGTGCCCACTACATGCGGGCTGTCAGCAATGTTGAGGTGAGGTGCCACCCCGGGACAGAGCCAGCAGGCAGCAGGTGTGAGAGCCTGGACTCTGGCCTCACACCTAAAGCTTTGCTGCTCTTATGCTTTGCTGTAAAGATGCATGAAGTTTTCAGCATTGCACTGCAACGCATATAGGTATAATGTACATGGGAGACACGCTGGTACACATTTGAAAAACCCTGTTACAAAACCACCAGAAGGCTCAGGAGGCCAGTGTTAACTGGAACCCCATTAACATCTGCTGGGGAGCTGGGGTGATGGCTTTAGGTAAAGTAGAGAACCTGGGTTTGAATTCCCCTGGGGAAAGGCAGGCACGGCAGTGTGAGCCTGGAACCCTACCTAGTGCAGGGGATTTGATGACTGGTATAACCCTAAGCTCTTTGGCCAGGTGGGCTAGCCACATCCATGAGACCCTGCCTCAATAAATAAATAAACATAGCTATTGGGGAAAGATACCAATATCAACTCTGGTTTCCACATTTACACACATATACACACAACCACATACAATTTGCTAGCTTAATCTTTTCCCCTAATGTTGGCAGGCACTTACAGAGAAATTTTTAAAATCAACTTAAATTCAATGTTTGTGTGTTCATATGTGCACAAGTGTGCAAGAGTATACATGATGACCAGGCAGTGGTGGTGCACGCATTTACTCCCAGCACTCAGGAGGCAGAGGCAGGAGGATCTCGGTGAGTCCTGGTCTACAAAGTGAGTTTCAGAAAAGCCAGGACTGTTACACAGAGAAACCCTGTCTTGGAAAAAAATAAGAGTATACATGATGTCAGTGGAAGCCAGAGGTCAGCCTTATGTGTCATTCTTCAAGTGTCATTCATCTTGTTTTTGTTTGTTTGTTTTTGTTCTCTTTCTTTTTTTTCTTTTTTTAAAAAAGTAGTTTTGTAATTATTTATTTTATGTACATTGGTGTTTTGCTTTCATGAATGAATGTCTTCATGAGGGTATTGGATCCCCTGGAACAGGAGTTACAGACAGTTGTAAGCTGCCATGTGGGTGCTGGGAATTGAACCCTGGTCTGGAAGAGTCAGTGCTCCTAACCACTGAGCCATCTCTCCAGCCCCTGTTTTTGTTTTTGTTTTTCAAGACAGGGTTTCTCTGTGTAGCTTTGGAACCTATCCTGGCACTCACTCTGTAGACCAGGCTGGCCTCGAACTCACAGAGATCCACCTGCCTCTGACTCCCGAGTGCTGGGATTAAAGGTGTGCGCCGACACCAGGCCATTCATCTTGTTTTTATTTGCTTACTTTTTTGAAACAAGTTTCTCACAGTCTGAACCTGAAGTTCACCGATTCAGCCAGACTGGCTGGTCATGAGTCCCAGGAAACCTCCTTCCTCCACCTCCCTGGTGATGAGATCACAAGCATGTGCCCGCAAACCCTGCTTTTTCTGTGTGTCCTGGGTGTCAGACTCAGGACCCCATGCTTACACAGCAGGCACTTTACTGAGCCAGCTCCCCAGGACAATGTTTTATCTTCTGAGAACAAGTCTCACTCTGAAGTCAAGACTGGCCCAGGACAGTCCAGGACAGCCTTGGCCTCTTGATATTCCGCCCCAGCCTCCCAAGTATTGAAATTATAGGCATGAGCCACCGCACACAGTTATATAACATATGTATTATATATACACACATACACATGTATATATATTATATATACAGATTACTTCGGTGTCTATGTGTGCAAACACTTTCACCACAGTGCGCATGTGGAGGGGTCAGAGGATAACCCATGGGAGTCAGTTGTCTCCTTCTACCATGTGGGCTCTAGGAATTGAACTGAGGTTGTCAGGTTTGGTGGCAAGCCCCGTTATCCAACTGAACCACTTGCAGCACTGAACAGATTTTTGCTTGGTTTGATTTGTTTAAAACAGGTTTCTCTGTGTAGCTCTGGCTGTCCTAGAACTTGCTCTGTAGACCAGGCTGGACTTGAACTCAAGAGATCCACCTGTCTCTGCCTCCCGAGTACTGAGATTAAAGGTGCCGTGCCTGGCTTTATTCTGCTGATGTAATTTATAGCAGACATGTCAGGCACGCCACTGCATATGCCTGCTCTTTTCCACCTGTCTGTGACTCTCTCCCCCAGGGCTTTGAGAGGCTCATCTGTACCCAGAAGAAGGAGAATGAGACCAAGGTGACACTGTGCGAGCTGGGCAACCCCATGAAGAAGGACACCCGGGTAAGACCTCCATGGTGTGGGCCTGGTGACAGCCAGGTGTGGGGGACGTCTCAGGTGGGAGTCAGGAGGTCTTCCAACTCTAGCTTCATCCTAGGGTGGGCAGGCTCCTGGGGGTGTGGAGGTGGGGTAAGAATGGTGACTCTGGAGGGGGAGGACTGGGCTCAGAGTGACAGTGGGGTAGTGACTTCAGTCCCCCTTCCCTTCCAGATTGGAATCAGAATGCTGGTGAGCGTGGAGAACCTGGAAGAAGCAGGACACTATGTGTCCTTCCAGCTTCAGATCAGGAGGTAGTGAGCAGGGCCGCATGGCTGTCACAGCCCTTCCTCCACCTGCCCCTCGTGCAGAAACCCCTCCACACAGAAAGGCTGGTGTCCCTCATTTCTTCTTCCCTCCAGCAAGAACAGCCAGAATCCCAACAGTAAGGTTCTGCTGTTGCCTGTGGCAGTCCAGGCTGAGGCCACAGTAGAGCTTCGAGGGTGAGAGGCCGGGCATGGGGAGGGAAATGGCAGCGGGAGGAGGAGGTGCGGTATGGCTTATGGGTATGATGCATGACTAGCACTTGGGAGACCCTGGCTCCCATCCCCGGTATCTCATAAAACAAAAGGGTAAAGTTTGCGGAGTCTGGGAGGATCCACCACACTCTAGGGGCTTGGACACTTGCAGGAATTCCTTCCCTTTGTCCCTGGTGGTGGCGGCAGAAGAAGGCGACAGGGAGCAGGATGACTCGGACAGCTGGGTCCCCAGGGTGGAACACACCTATGAGGTAGGGAGGAGCCTCTGGGTAAGACTGGGTGGGGTGAGGGAGGTACTGGGAACTGCAGGCTGGCAGCTGAGCCACCACCAGCACTCCACCTCTCGACCCCTCCCACCCCTCAGGTCCACAACAATGGCCCTGGCGCTGTGAATGACCTCCTCCTCGTCATCCACTTTCCCAGCCAGTCCCAGGCCTCGGACCTGCTCTACATTCTGGACGTGAAGCACCAGGGAGGTCTCCTCTGCTCCTCACAGCCAACCCTCAAGCCTCTGAAGGTGAGGCTCTAGGCGAGGGAAGGAGCTGTGAGGGGATAGATGCCAGACCAACAGCCAGAGCAGGGTGTGGGTGTGGGTTCAGACCCTGGAAGCGAATTCACTGTGCCTTTGCCCCCCCCCCCCAGCTGGACTGGAGGCTACCCACTCCCAGCCCCTCCCTCCTCCCGGTCCATCACCAGCGCGAGCGCAGACAGGCGTTCCTGCAGGAACCCAGGCTGCCAGGGCAGCAAGACCCGGTTCTGGTGGTGAGAAGGCTCGGCGGGCTCCAGCTGGGGCCCTCGGGAGCCAGAGGAGACGGGGAGCAGGGGGAGCGGTGCGGGTGTGATGCTGGACTGGCACTTGGCAGAACGGGCTAGGGGACACTGGGGTGTTGGTTTGTTTTTTAAATTTTCCTCTAAAGAAATGCCAAAGCAAGCCGGGCCTGGTGGCGCAAGCCTTTAATCCCAACAGAGGCAGGAGGATCTCTCTGGGTTCGAGGTCAGCCCGGTCTACAGAGCGAGTGCCAGGGCTGTTACACAGAGAAACCCTGTCCAAAAAAAAAAAAAAAAAAAAAAGCCAACGCAATATCACAAAAAACACCGAGTACTTCAGGCTGTGGGTGACCCTGCCTTCGGGCCTCGCCCCAGTGTCCCTGGGAATGTTGAGCAAAGAGAATGTAGAGAAACCATCCGAGGCTCGGCCCGAGAGCGGCGCTTCCTGACCCCCCCTGGCTCTCTGTGTTGGGTCCTTGATTGATGGGGGATGATTGGCAGGAGGGCCTGGGCACTTATAACCCGTCCCCCTCAGAGCTGCAACGACTCGGCGCCCTGTACGGTGGTGGAGTGCGAGCTGCGGGAGATGGCACTGAGGCAGAGAGCCATGGTCACGGTGCAGGCCG